CATGTGGACGAGAGGAGAGGAGAGGGGCGTGCAGCGCAGCGCACATGCTGCTAGTGGCGCTGAATGTGGCGGTGGGTGACGGGCTGCATGGGGCCAAGGGGCGGGTAGGACAGTGGGTGCGTGGAGGGGGAGGGGAAAGAGGGGGCAAGGGCAGGGTTTACTGAGAGGGTGGAATGCTTGAATGAGGAGAGCAGGGTTTTGGGTGCGCAGGAAGGGCGGCATGAGGGGATGGCAGAGGATGAAAGCATGAGCATCAGCGCAAGAGAGTGTGCAAGTGCAGTTCGTATCCACTGGCGCATGAGGCAGTGAGCGGCATGCGGCCAGCCCCACCCACGCACGCCCGCGTGTGTGGCAGCAACTCACCCGGCGCTCCTCGTGTGCCTCTCTGCGGGGTGGCTCTGCTCCTCGCTCTGCACGGGAGGGGGGGGGTGCAGCACAGAGGAGAAGTGGTGTGAGGCGCACGTGCAAAGGGGGCAAAGGCATGAGAGACACGGGGGACGAGTGGGGAAGCGAGAGGCAGCAGCGGCCTTGTCTCACAGCTTGTGTGGCAGCAGCAGCAGCAGCAGCAGCGAGGTGCGAGGAGAGCCCTTCAGCGGCGGCGCAGCGCTGCAGCGACGCCGCCAGTTGTGCCTTCACTCGGGTGAGCGCCGCCACTTGCGCCGCCTGGTGGTGGGCGATGAAGAGAGGGAGAGAGGGGCAGAGGGAGGGGACGTGTGTGTGAGCAGCAGGGTATAAGGTGCTTGAGGGAGCGAGCAGCAAGAGCTGACCACTTACAGAGAGCCACTCCGCCCTCGTGCAACCCACTGCTTCCTCTGCCGCCTCCATTTTCCAAGTCCTGCTTCTGCTGCCATTACATTCTTGCCTTTCCGGCATTTCCCTCCAGGGACCCTCTGCCCAATGCCACCCCAGCCCTCTGCCACCCACACCACGCCCTCCCATCATCCCAACAACCCCGCGCCCACACCCTCCCTCACCAAACACCCTTGGGGCCACACCCTCCCCTCACCCCGGCCCCCGTGCGCCCACACACACCCAGCCCGCACCTCGGAGCCCTCGCCCTGTGCGCTGCACGTCGCCTGCCCCGCCGCCTCCTCCGCCTGCTGCAGCGCCGCCTCCGCCTCCTCCAGCGCTGCCAGCTGCCAGTGCAGAGAGGGGAGCGAGGAGCAGCGAGCAGGGCGGAGAGGCAAGCAATGGAGCAGCGAGCATTGGAGCAGCGAGCAATGGAGCAGCGAGCAATGGAGCAGCGAGCAATGGAGCAGCGAGCATTGGGGCAGCGAGCATTGGGGCAGCGAGCATTGGGGCAGCGAGCATTGGGGCAGCGAGCATTGGGGCAGCGAGAATTGGGGCAGTGAGAATTGGGGCAGGGAAAGAGGCGTACCTCGATGGAGAGCGCGCTGAGCTGGTCGTCCACGTGGAGCTCCTCCATCCTCTCCACTTCTGACACGTGGACCAATGGGCCGCATGGGTGGTGGTGGGAGGTGGGCAATGCGAATGTGGGCATGGGCAGACGGCAAGTCTGCACTATCTGTGACGCATACAGCACACACGGCCATGCACCGCACACAACCATGCCCCACACACGGCCATGCACCGCACACAACCATGCACCACACACGGCCATGCACCGCACACAACCATGCACCACACACAACCATGCACCGCACACAACCATGCACCACACACAACCATGCACCACACACAACCATGCACCACACACAACCATGCACCACACACAACCATGCACCACACACAACCATGCACCACACACAACCATGCACCACACACAACCGTGCACCACTCACAACCGTGCACCACACGTAACCATGCACCACACACAACCATGCACCACATGCACCACACACAACCATGCACCACACGTAACCATGCACCACACACAACCATGCACCACACATAACCATGCACCACACGCAACCGTGCACCACACATAACCATGCACCACACACCCCCAGCGGCTCACCTTGCCCCAGCTGCTCGCACGCGTGTCGCAGGGCGTCGCATCTCTTGTCTGCCATCGCCTGTGCGTCGCTGTTGGCCGCCTTGAGCTGCTGCCGTGCCGCCTCTGGTGCACGCAGGGGGGTGAGCGCAGGGGGATGAGCGCAGGGGGATGAGCGCAGTGGGATGCGCGCAGTGGGATCGTGCATCGTGCATCGTGCCTCGTGCATCGTGTTCGCTCGCTCAGTGTTTCCCTGTGCGCCTCATTCTCGCTCCAGCGGCAGTGTGTCGCTGAAGCGCTGCGGACGACGTCGCCCGCCGTGGACGACGAGAGCTGCGACGACGCCTCGCAGCTATGCGAGCATGCGATACGTCGCAGGGGTAGCGAGACCACTCTCGCGCCTCTCCGCTCACCACCGTCGTCGTTGCTGCGCGGCAGGTCCCACGAGTCCTGCAGCAGCAGCGGCCCCGTGTCGCTCAGATAGCGCAGCAGCGCCGCACTCACCCCGCTCTCCACAAAACTCGTCTGCAGCCGCTTCACTGCCGCCTATCGAAGCATTCCATACAGGGTACACAATCGAAGCATTCAGGGTACACAATCGAAGCATTCAGGGTACACAATCGAAGCATTCAGGGTACACAATCGAAAGCATTCAGGGTACACAATCGAAGCATTCAGGGTACACAATCGAAAGCATTCAGGGTACACAATCGAAGCATTCAGGGTACACAATCGAAGCATTCAGGGTACACAATCGAAGGATTCAGGGTACACAATCGAAGCATTCAGGGTACACAATCGAAGCATTCAGGGTACACAATCGAAGCATTCAGGGTACACAATCGAAGGATTCAGGGTTCACGATTTAGGTGCGCATGAGAGGAGACAATGGCGGACGAACATCGCGATGAGCGGAGAAGGGAAACGACCAACTAGCAAGGTACAGGTGGATTCTCCACGGCTGTCCCCGTCTCTCCCACCTGACCGTTGACCTCGCGCGACTCTCTCCCCCACCTGGCCGTTGACCTCGCGCGACTCGACGGCGCCATCCTCGTTTGCTGGCGCGGCCTTGAGCCGCTCCTCGCGCTCCCTGCGATGGTCGCACATGGTGAAGAGGGCGACGGGCAGAGCGTTAGTCGGGAACGGGAATTGATGCGAAGCAGCAGCGACGCCGGAGGGGACAGCGCGAGCTGAACGGGGAAGCGAGCATAAGAACGGTGGAGCAGCGGAGCGGCAGACTGGCAAAGCTGCGGAGCAGCGGAGAGGCAGAGTGGCGGTGGCTGACTGCGCGACGGCGACTAAGGGGTCCGAGGCAGAGCACAGAAGCGGAGAACTAAAACGGCGAAACGACAGATCCTGAATTCAGGCCGAACAAGGGCTGGAAATGAACGACAAGCCACGGAAAAATATGCGGGAAGTTCCTACGTAGTCAGCTGAATAAGTTCGTTCGAAATGTCGTGCAACGCGCGCTTTTGAACATCGCCCATCCTGCGTGCGCGGTTGGTATGAAACTAGTTTGTTTGCGAACGGAAGAGAAATCTTGCACTATCGGTACTTGTGCGGTAAGATACGACGTGTGTGGGAGTGAATGGAATAGTGACGGGACCTAGTGAGTGATTTTTTTGTTGAACCTTGGGAGAGATGGTGAAGGCATTCCTGCTTTTCGAAGGAGGGAGAAACGGAGCAATCGGTGCAGCAGGATGCTCGCTTGCGCGCGTCCCTCGATCTCATCACTCGCTGCCTCTGCCCCCAACTCTCCTCGCGTCTCGAGGCCCTCGAGGGTTTGAAAAGTGTCAGTCTGGCGGGAAGTATTGCTAGAGTGTGACCCGCCAGTCATCGAAAAACAATAAATTTTCATTCCTAATGTTTCCAGATATACTTCCAGGGTTGTACTCAAATTTCGTGCAATTGATGAAGTGAGCCAGGATTGCACTTAAAGAGTCAAACGAGTACCATACAATGTGATCCAAGGCATGAGCAAACATTTATAGCGAGGAAAATAAACAATAACGCATGCTTGCGAGCAGGGCCCTAAGTATCAAACGTTTATATCTTCCATATATTGTTAGATAGGCTACAATGAGTTGCCCTCTACAGGGTACAACACTTATGTCGACACTTGTATCTCCTTGTTCCTCCATACTCACATATCTTTCTCGATACTCACTTCCTAGCCTATTTTAAGATGGTGTTATTGTAGCGCCCGTCCCTTAGGCTCCGGTTCGTCGCGGGTAAGATGGCCCCCGCGGGCCTCGTTTTCGTCGCGTTCAAAGGCCCCCGCGGGCCTCGTTTTTCGTCGCGTTTAAAGGGCCCCGCTGGCCCCTCGTTTCGTCGCGCTCCATAAAGGACCCCCCCCCCCCCCCCCCCCCCCCCCCCGCGGGCCCGCGTAGTCTTGGTTAGCCCGCAACAGCCGCGCGTGCAAGCAGCAGGCACACACGCACCAGCAGCAGCAGCGCGCGTTAGCCAGCGGCAGTCGCGCACGCCACTGCTGCACGCGCATTGCAGCAGCAGCGCTCGCATTGCAGCAGCAGCGCGTGCATTGCTGCAGCAGCACGGCTAGGCAGCAGCGCGTGTTACTGCAGCAGCACGGCTAGGCAGCAGCTAGCCGCCAGCAGCTCGCCGCCAGCAGCTAGCCGCCAGCAACTAGCCGCCATCAGCTGCTAGCCGCCAGCAGCAGCTAGCCATCAGCAGCTAGCCGCCAGCTATCCCCTCCCACCCGGCCACAGCCCCTTTCAACCGCTCACAGCCCCTTCCAACCGCTCACATCCCCTTCCAACTGCTCACAGCCCCTTCCAACCGCTCACAGCCCCTTCCAACGGCTCATAGCCCCTTTCAATCGCTCACAGCCCCTTCCAACCACTCACAACCCCTCATCACGCGTGCACACCACCCAGGACCACCCGACCTCCATTGGTTCGACACTCGCGTCACTCATACTCACAGTGTTTCGCACCGTCACGGCTGGAGGCCGCTCCACCTAGCTGTTTAGGCTAATCTTGGCGTTCATTGTTAGCTGGGTCTCTCCTCGCTCCGCCAGCCCCTTGAACAACTCTCTGGCTCCTCGATCGGCTCGTCAGCCCCGCCTCCTCCAGCCGCCTGCTCCTAGCTCAGCTAGCTCCCAGCTCCGTTAGTTACTAGACTGGCGTTCCTAGCTCAGCTTTCCTCCGTACTCCGGCAGTACCTCACCTAGTCCCACCTGGCGCTCCTCGCTCCTAGCCCCTATTGCCGCACGTACTTTACACTGCTAGTGGTTCTACTAGCAGCAGCCGACAGCCGCACTTACGGTCTCTAGCTCCGGTCGTTCCTACCTCCAGCCGGCCCTAGCTCGCCCTCTAGCTCCAGCCAGTTGTACTCCAGCCGTTCTAGCTCCAACCGTTCTCGCTCCAGCCGTTTCAGTGTTGTTCAGGATCACTGGGGTTCTCCAGCAGCAGGGACAGCAGCAGCGGCCGTTTCAGCAGTGGCGCCCACAGCAGCAGTGGCACCCGCAGTAGCAGTGGCGCCCTCAGCAGCAGCTCCGCACTCAGCAGCTGTGGCGCCCTCAGCAGCCGTGGGGGCCTGGTGGTTCGGGTAGCGTTGGCTGCAGCAGCCCAGCCAGCTGGGGGGCTCGTCGCGGTGGCCGCGACGTCGGCCCCTGCCAGTACCGGATCCTGACCGGCCCTGGTGCTGGCACTACCTGCTAGGTCCTGACCACTCAGCGCAACGCGGCTACAACCGCCTCAACGACCTCTACCGTGAGCTTTTTGGGCCTGAGTCGGCTCCCCCGATCTGGCTCGGTCTGTCTCGTAGTGGTTACCCTGTGTTTGCTATGTCAATGGATGCTGTTTATTCTGTCACGTATGGATCTCTTGGCTTGCGTGTACCTAACTTAGGAACTTTGCCTGTTGCTAGTGTAGGTACTTGTGCTTTTAGTGTAGGTGCTTGTGTAGTCACTAGCCCAGCCATGACGACTGCTGTTGCGTCGCTCTCCTTCACGCTGGACTCCGGCGCGTCTCAGTGCTTCTTCCGCGACCACACCACTGTCACACCTCTTTCGGCTCCAGTCCCAGTTGCCCTGGCTGATCCTACTTCAGGGGCAGCAGTTGCTCGCATCTTGACCACTCTCCCGTGCCCAGCTGTCCCCTCTGGTTTCCTCACTGGTCTCTACATCCCCTCGTTCTCTCGGAACTTGGAGGGTCTTGGAAACCTTCAGGACCGGGGATCACAGTCACTTTTCCTGCGCACCGGAGGACTGCGATCTGTACGGACTCTTCCACCTGGGCAGTTCTTGCCACGTTCACAAGAGAGCCCCACTCAGGTCTCTTTGTCCTGCACACCCGCCCCCGCAGGTAGCTGAGTCAGGTCAGGTTGCTTCGTCCCCCCGGATAGCAGAGTCCGGTCAGGTTACTGTGTCCCCACATGTTGCTGTCTCTGGTCAGGTTGCCGTGTCTGGTCAGGTTGTTGTGTCCGGTCTAGTTGCTGCATCTTGGTCCTGTCGGTCCCTAGCCCACCCGACCATCTTGTGGTGCCACCGCCTTGGCCACCCGTCTCTCCCCCGCCTCAGCACCATGTCTAGTCACAGTCTTGTCTCAGGTCTCCCGCGCGTCTTTCTGTTGCTCCCTCCCTCACTTGCTCCACTTTGCACTCCTTGTCGCCGGCCGCCTGCGTGCCACTCCGCACTCCTCCCTTCGTCCGGCCACTGCTCTCTTCGAGACTCTCCACCTAGACGTCTGGGGCCCTGCCCCTACGCTTGGACCTAAGAGGGAGCGCTACTTTCTAGTGGTCGTTGACGACTACTCCAGGTACACCATATTGTTTCCTCTCGAGAAGAATTCCGAGGTGACTTCTACGCTGATCCGGTGGCTTCTGACCACTAAGGGCACTCGTGGTAGTTGTGTCCGTTGTCTCCACTCCGACCGTGGGGGTGAGTTTTGCTTTGGCGTCCTTTCCGGGTTCTGCGGCGAGCAGGGCATCAGACAGTCCTGGACGCTGCCGGAGTCCCCACAGCAGAATGGGGTTGCTGAGCGCCGCATTGGCTTGCTCATGGACATCGCCCGCACGTCCATGATCCATGCCCGTGCGCCCCATTTTATGTGACCCTACGCGCTTCGTTATGCCGCGCACCAGCTGAACCTTCAGCCGCGTGTCTCCCGGCCTGAGGTTTCAACGACCAGTCACCGGGTCCACTGGTGTTGGGTCGGCCTTTCACGTCTGGGGCTGCCTTGCGCTTGTCCGCGACACCTCTGTGGACAAGCTCTCGGCTCGCGCCGTCCCCTCTGTCTTCCTTGGTTTCCCGGTGGGCTCTCCCGACTACTCCTTTTACCACCCGCCCCTCCACTAGTTCCTAGACTCTCGTGACGTCCGGTTTGACGAGTCCGTGTCCTACTACACCCGGTACCCCTGTCGAGGTCTCCCGGTTCCCCCTCCCCCCTCGTCCTCGCACCCTCTTCTCCCCCTGCTCCCGCTCCTCCAGTACCCCCGCCCCCCCCTGGTCCTGCTCTGTCAGGTGTGTCTCACGCTACCCCTCTACCCTCGGTCGAGCGTCAGGTAGCGTCTCCCTCCCCGCAGTC